TCTCACTCTCTCTCAAATAAATAAAAATCTTTAAAAAATAAAAAATAAATAAAAACAAATCACCACACTTACCTTTACCCTATGATGCTACCACCTGCCATTTAGAAAACACAGGCCTAAACTTCACCCAAAATGTAAACTCCTTCCACCACCACTTTAAAAAATGGGTGAAATCTAGCAAATCTATTCCAAGTACAAATTGTGAGACGTCCCAGATCCCTCTCTGAAGTTTCTGCTACACTGAGAAGATTCCTTGGATTTTTTTTTTTTTTTTTAATTTAAGTACTCTCTGCAACGCAACAGGGGGCCCAAACTCACGGCCCCGAGATCAAGAGTCGCATGCTCTTCCACCTGAGCCAGCCAGGTGCCCCTGTAACTATTCCTACTAGCAGACAGGTTGCACATGCTGAAAGTTTCTCTAGACTGAGTACAGAAGTAGAAATCTTTTCTGTTACCATATTAGTGACATTAGTAAATTCTACACTTGAGAACACGTAATAGGTTTACCACTACTCCACAAGCCAACTCTTCCAAGAAAATAAAACAGGACTCTAATATGGTATCATACCCCTACATTTTCAGATTGCTTTCCATATGCACCATTCCATTTGATCCTCCCTGACGAACTGAGATGAAGTGTTACTCTTCCTTTTATTAATGAGGAAATTGAAGCTAAGAACACTTACATGGCCTGCCAGAAACAACACAGCTAACAAGGAACACAACTCAAGTTTGAACCGAAGACTTACCTGTCTACCCAGTCTCATGTTACAATTTTCATGGTGAACATCTGATACAAATATGAACTTAAGAAGTATGTTAAGTTTCTAGATATGAGGGGCACTTCGCTGGCTCAGTCAGTATAGCATGGCACTCTTGATCCCAGGACTGTGAGTCAGAACCCCACACTGGGTATAGAGCATACTTAAAAAAAAAAAAAAAAAAAAAAAAAATGTTCTTTAATGTCTAGATACAAAAGTGAAAATGAAAGCATATCAATATGGTATCAAAATAAAGATTAAAAACAGCAATGAATGTCAATTTTGGTAGCCTCTAAAATTATCAGGAATTCTAGTTCAATCCAATATGGATTTGATCTCATACTGTGTCTTAAGTGAACCTTTTACTGATTATAAAATTACATATAAATTTACCATAGAAAATTACAGAATTGGGTGGTCTGTAAGAAACAACTGGGCACATAAATTACACAAACTTCCCCAAACCATTCTTAAACTTGCGGCTTCACACTAAATTATGAAGTTCCTTATGTGAAATCCATTTTGATTTCAACACTAAGAGAATTACAACAGCTAAGTGTGTTGTTTCTGCATAATACTTGCAACATGCACTCAATTTCCAGTGCACTTTTGGACAATGTCTAAAATCTGTAAGCTAAGAGTAGAACCCAAAAATGTTCAAGTTTTAAAAAAAAAAAAAAAAGGTTCATCTACCTACATAAAATAAATACCAAATAACAATTACAATTTACTGAAGATTCGCAGAGGAACGCCGGGCTGGCTCTGTCAGTAGGGTACATGACTGTTGATCTTGGGGTTGAGAGTTCAGGCCCCTTGCTGGGTACAGAGCTTACTTTAAAAAAATGAAATAGTTCTTAAAAAAAATTTTTGCAGAATTAGGATGAAGAAACTACTTAACTACTTGAGATCAACAAGTATAGGCCTTTAATTGTATAGATGAGAAAACAGAGATCCAGAGAAGTGATATTCCTAACAACAGTCATAGTCAGTTAATGACACAATCTCTGCCAATCTACAGCTTCCCATTATTCTAAATGTCTCTGCATCTAATAAAGTCACTAAAAAGGGCCATTATACCTAAAAATAATAAAACACATTCAAGACCCAGGATAGTTTACAATGACAGTCCTAAGAGGACAAAATTAAAAAAAGAAAAAGAAAAACCTTCTGTTTTCTAAAGATGTTATTTTTAAGTAATCTCTACACCCAACATGGGGCTCAAACAACCCTGACATCAAGAATCACATACTCTACCAACTAAACCAGAGAAAAGCCCCTAGACCATAGAACCTCTTGAATGAATCCCAAAGTTCTAAACCAAATGAGCTAAAAACTGACTTTCTGATCCAACGCAAGGTATCAAGTGAGTTGTTTTTTTTTTTTAAGATTTTATTTATTTATTTATTTATTTGAGAGAGAGAAAGAGAGTGCACACACAGGGGCAGAGGGACAGAGTCCCTGCTGAGTGGAGAGCCCTATCTAGGGCTGGATCCCAGGACCCTGAGTTCATGACCTGAGCTGAAGTCAGAAGCTTAACCAACTGAGCTGAGCCACCCAGGCACCCCCTCAAGTAGCCTTTAATAACTAATGTTATCAACCATCACAACTTCTTTTCCCCATCTACACTATTCATTTTCTCAACAAATATCTGAGAGCACAGTATATGCTGTGGGAACTATGCCAGACACTGGAGACACCCTGAAAACAAAACAGCCTCTGGCTCTCAAACTGGACAGTAGGATACACTTCTCTAAAATACTATTCCATGATTTGACAGGATATTTACCAAACTCCTTCACTACTCTACATAACTATGATTTTTTTTTTTTAAAGATTTTGTTTTATTTATTTGACAGAGATCACAAGTAAGCAGAGAGGCAGGCAGGGGGCAGAGGTGGGGGAGGAAGCAGGCTTCCTGCTGAGCAGAGAGACTGATGCAGGGCTCAATCCCAGGACCCTAAAATCATGACCTGAGCTGAAAGCAGAGGCTCAACCCACTGAGCCACCCAGGTGCCCCAACTATGACACTTCTCCCAATTCTTCCAAACTTATAACAAACTTCACAACACCCCCTCTGCAACAAGAATACTTCTTGGGTAATTCACCATTCTGATTTACCACAGAAGGTGTTAACCATAACTACAACAGATTTAAAAACTGACTTTACCACTCCTCATGGCCTGGGGCAAATTTCAAGAACTTTTCATAATGCACAATAAACCTTCCGGGTGCACAACCCTCATCTCAAATGACTGCTAACTCACCCACCCTACCCTCACTTTACTAGATAACCTGAGTCAGCTGGTTTAGGAGCAAGTATGTTGAGATGTTGGGAAGCACCTTCCATGGACCTCTTTGTGAGCCAAAAGCAGACCTACTGCTTCTCCCTCTCCTTTTCATTCCTCTAGATTCTTTTATGTATCTCTAGATATACCTCCAGTCAAGCAGCATCTAATTTTATCACGTGTTCCCAAAGACTGGCACAAATAACTTCCAGCAACAAATCTAATTCCTCTACCTAAATCCATTATATTTTAAGAGATGTTCAATCTTCAGTTTTAAATTTCCCAGGCTTCCCCTTCTTCCCTATCAAATTCTTAAAGCTCTATAAAGAACTAAAAGCACTCTCAGAAGTCATAATTAATGGGAACCTTATGGAATACCAAAGGTGACCTAAAGCTGACTTTCACAGGTTCACAAACCTGGCTGACCAGAGTCATTCAGGGAGCTTCATGAGGATGGATTCCCAGGCCCCACCCTCAAAGATTTTAATTCACCAGATCCTCCTGAATGGAATTCAGGGCAACCCATGCTATTTCTGATGACCATATTGAGATAACCACTGAACTAAAGAACCTAGCCTACAAGTTGAGAAAGAGGGGTTCTCCTATGGCTTGCTATTAACTATAAGTGAGTCTGCACCACTGTGCTGGTCACTTGAACTTCTCTGGGTCACCTGAAAATGAGGGAGGTAATTACAGCTGAAAGAGGCCTTCATAGGCAGCCAATCTAAAATTCTAGAATCCTCCAAATTTAGTTTAAGATCACGTACCATACCAGGCTTACTCAAAAGTTGGTCATTTTGTAAGCTCTTCTACCCACCCAAGTCACAGGCCCTAGAAGGGAAGACTTTTTGCATGCCACCAATCCACCTTACTGGGATCACCCAGTAAAAATAACACATATCATGTCTCTGGCCCTACAGAAACACCCTTTAAAAAGGAGAAAGTCCCTGTCACCTCTCCATGTAGAAATCACAAACGTTTTACATTTAAAAAAAAATAAATAAAAAAAAAAACCTCATGTAATTCAACCCAAGCCTTCGATAGCATCACCATTCAAATTGTGAGAACAGCTGAACCTCAACTAGAAGAGTATAAACATTCTTTTTTCGTTATGAAAAATTAGGTTGTGAGATAAGCAGAGTGAATGTCAAGATATTCAATCAGTCAAGAATTCAGCCTCTGACCGGAGAAGACACCTGCACATCAATAAGTAACTGAAGACCAAGTGCAAAACTCAAGCAAGATTATCAGACCCCGAGAAGTTTATTAAAGTGCCATAAAATTGATCCCATTATTTTGAGGTAAGTTTTCCAGCCCAAAGTACAAGCAACAATATTATCGCAAGGGTCCTAAGCCGCACTATTTCCACCTGAGAAATAATCTCTCCCGGAGCTGTTTGACCAGTGTTCACTGAACTCTCAACCGCCTCCGAACCATCCTTCCCACCCAAGTACTACCAGGTCAGGAGGATGCCCGGCTGCACAGTCAGTCGGCCACTCCTCCTTCCCACAAGTCCCGGGCCCGCACCGCTCGCCCCGGGGGCTCTCCTGGCCCCCGACCTCCGGCCTCTCGCCACAGTGGACTCCCACAGACCCGGTCGGGCGCGATGGAGGCACACTCACCTCCCGGGGTCCGCGGGCACTTGTCGGGACGCTCCGGGGGCAGCACTTCACAACCCCAGCCCCATGGGCCCGTCCCTGCCAGGTTCGGGATGGCCGCCCGGGACCCCGCCTCCCCCTCGCCGAGCCCGGCCGCTACGCTCCCACTCCCCACGCCTCCCCCTGGCGGCCGCGGCCGCCACCCAGGACACCCGTCCCCGGGCCACGCACGCTGTCCCCAGCCCCCCACGGACCGCCGCCTCCTCAGAGGGTGACAGCCACTGCGCCGGGGCCGAGGACGGCCCCTCCTCCAGCCCCTCCTCACCCCCAGAGGAAGGGGAGGGGGGCGTTCTTACCGGGCGGCAAGACATGGCGAGGCCCGCCACGGCACGGCCACCTCCGCCACCCCACTAGGCTCCCAGCCAGGGCCGGCGGGGGGGCAGCGCCTGAGCCGCTGGAGCCTCTCGTCCGGCTGCTCCTCCGCTGCCGCCGCCGCCTTCTCACAACCACAACAACATGGCGGCAGCGGCCACACAGAGCGCGCTCCCGACGCCGAGCCGGGCCGCGAGCGGGGGCGCGCGCGCAGGCTCGGGCCCTCAGTCCGCGGTCTGGAGAAAGAAGGCAGGCTTTCGCGGGTTCGGCAGAGGCGGGGCCCAGGCCGGTGGCCACGCCCCGGTAATGGGCGGGGCTACAGACCAGCAGAATGCTCTCCGCGGGAAAGAGCAGCTCAGGTGGAGAAAGAATTAGAAACAGGTGGAAAATAGACAAGGAAGAAAACCAATGGTGGCCCTAAGATTTGGGGGAGGCATCTTTTCCCTGCCCTATAGCCCTGAGCAAGACAAAGCCTCACTCTACTTAACCAGTACAATGGAACAACAGTAGTATTTTTCCCCTGTAGTTACGGTGAGGCTAAAACTAATTTAACATGACGCATATAAGTTTTGTGTGCTCAAGGCTCTCAAAAATACAATTTCAAACTGCTTCAGCTGAACCTCAGCTGCAAGAAATGAGTTTTCAAACACACAAAAATTGTACCCTACCCACAATAGCCTGCATATGAATTCTACAAGCCAGAATGGAATTATTTTAGGCCTTTAACAGATTAACTTCTTCAGAGTTGCATTTTAACATCATACCATTGACTTTTCCGGAAAATAGCTAAGAGAACCAGTCAAATGAAATCTGTGTTTGCAATGTTATATTTTTTAACCCCACAGCACCCTCTGCAATTATTTATCCATCTTTCATGTTTATTGTGTTTCTATCCCATTCCAATGTAAAAGCTACTTTAGAATAAAATTCTTGTTTTGCTCATCACTTTATCCCCAGCACTGGGAACTGCCCATAGGAAGTAGTAGACAAATGTCTTTTTTATTTATTTATTTTTAGATTGTGTTTATTCAGAGAGTGAACGCTGGTGGGCTCCCGGGGATCCGGATTGCAGGAATAGGGGTAAGGGGCAGAGAAAGAGGGGGAGAAGCAGACTCCCCTCTGAACAGGAAGCCCTTGCGGGGCTGGATCCCAGGACCCTGAGGTCATGATCGGAGCCAAATGCAGATTTTTTTTTTAAGATTTTATTTATTTATTTGACAGAGAGAGAGAGATCACAAATAGGCAGAGAGACAGGCGGGGGGGGGGGGGGGGGGGGGGGG